GAGATTGGAGTTCAACGGCGGCGGATCTGTTTGGCCAGTAAATTCCTTTTCGGGAGGTAGAAAATGATAAGTTTTTAAAATTGTTAAAAAGCCAACCTCCAGAAGCCCTTACATGTAAAAGTTTAAAATTTCAAGAAGTTATTATTTTGGTCCTTTAATTTACATTAATGTGTTACTTAGTTCTTCAAGTCTATCAATTATACATTTTCAAGGACTTAAATTGTACATTTGTTCCTCATATGTCATCCTTTTGATTGTGGGCTAAATTAAAGTTGGTCCAAAAGCAAAACAATTGATGCAAATAGCAAAATAATGTAAAAGAAAATTCCTATTTAGGGTGTTGTAGATTTCAAAATTCTTTAGAAGGGTGTTAAATTTTTAAAATTCTTATCAAAGGCATAAAATTTTTTACAGAATAAGGATATATTACATCCTTCTTCACCTTCTCCTCCTGCTATTCTTCTTCATTTTTTTTTGGCACCCAATTATATAAAAATCCTTCTCCATGTTTAGATGTGGAAGTCAAAAACTAAAAAGTTTTTTTTTTCTTTTTTTTAATGCACCCAATCATATAATTAGAATTTTTCTTCATGTCTATTTGGGTAAGTTAAAAAAAATTAGAGAAATCTATCCAATAATGATAAAACATCAAAATTCACACTCTCAAGTGTATTTGATACATGCGCAGTCCTATTTCCAACATCATGAACTTCTTTTCCATGATTTCTATGATTGAGCTTCAAAAGAGAAAAATTCATCCTTATCACCATTTGAAGGCTTTCTCAAAAATTAAAAATTAAGGTTCTTCAATAGATCTCTCATGAAGTTTAAAAAGGAAAAATAAATCTTATGTTTAAAGATATTCAAAAAAATTAATGTGTCATTACGGAAGGAATTAAATTAGTCATTTAATAACGTGAAACATTAAAATGAGAATAAAATTACTATATATATATATATCTATATATATATATATATATATACCCCATCATAACAAAAACTAGTTTCAAATTAATTATATATATATATATATTCCAAGTGTCATGTTTTCCTTAAAATTTGGCTCAAATTCATACATGTAATTATTTTTCAATCCTGTTATTATATTTTTGATGAACACATTCCTTGAAAAAAAACTTCCCACTATCTTCAAAAAAACAGTTTCCGATTCCCTTCCAAAAAGTAACCTCCAAATCCTAATTTTTTTAAGGAGAAGATTATCGATGTTACTGCATAATTGATCGGAAAATTCTTTTTTTAAAAAAAGTCGGGCGACCGGCTACTTAGAAGAGCACCAACATAATTGATCAACGAACGACCATATCAACAAACTACGATTCAGATAATTGCTATGCCAACCTGGAATTGTTCCTATTGCAGTTGAAGTTTGGCTTTGCCTTTTCATTTTCCTCCAAGATAATGAATACTCTATAGTAAACCCGAAAGATAGGAGAAAGCAATGAATATGTTTTTCATTTTTTTAATAAATTAATGAATCTACTCAATTCTTTCGGTTGGCCACGACTTTGAAGCAAGTCCTAACTACCCTCAATCTAATTTATGATAACACTCGAAGTCAAAACTTTCATGGCAATTGTCGCAGATGTTGTGCACTGGAAACTTTCTACTTCGAAACCTTTAACGTCAATCCTATCAAGCCACTCCGCAACAATTGACAGAAAATTGGTGAATTGAGGAATTATTCAGCAATAACTGAAATGAATCCCTCTGTCAAGCAGGAGTACTGATGGCCAACAACTTCGCAAGGAGTATAAAATATCATATGGTGATGATGTGTGGTAATATGTTTAGAAGCAACCTCTGCTTTTTTGTTTAGACTTTTTTTTTCCTTTTTGTTGTTGAAATCCGTCAAAGTGACTTATTATCAATTTTATTGTCGGGAAGAACATGCTAATGTTCTCTCAAGAATACACACAAGGTAAGCTACATATTTGATGGGTTCATGTTTCTAAAATGATTCTCAAGTAATCAAAGCTCAAACATTTATGAAAACTTATGCAAACAAATAGATGTTTTAAGTTGTAAATGTTGATTTCAGGAAAAAAAGAAAAAAGAAAAAACAAATTTAATGGTAGAACTGTGATTTATGGCCTATTTTTGTTACTTCCGCATAAATGTGGTCTGTCTTTTCGTGACATATGCGTTTTTGGGGGAAAAAAGTTATAAAAAAAAAAATAAAATTGAATTTTATCATTAGAATGGCATGCACTGACCAATAACTTGGAAATGAATTAGGTCCTAATCTAGGTGTTAAGTTTGGGTCCATTTCCAATTTGTTGTCATAATTCATAAAGCCAAACCGCTTTTCCTAAATTGCAGTCATATTTGCAGATTAGGAAGACACCTCTCTAGAAAAGGAAATCAATAAACGTCCAGAGCAAAAGCTTAGATTCTCCTCAAAAAAGAAAAAAAAAGAAAAAGAAACACTTGTATTGCATATGGATAGGCAAAATACAGTCCAAATTTAATTGTAAAAGGATATAGGCCTACTACAATTCGGTTCATATTTTCTCTCTTAGGTTTTTTTTTTTTTTTTGAGGTTTATGTCAAAATATTCTTCTTCTTTTTCTTTAATGAAACCTCCAAAAATGATTTACATTAGTTTATTGTTGGTTTGTAAGTTTGTTATTTTTGTTTCATTACGTTTTATGATTGGTTGTCTAACATACTTATTACTATCATGTATAATAACTGTAGTTGTCTATAATCATTGTACAATAATACGATCTATATTGATATGATAAAATACAATATTTTGTTTGTTTGTCTAAAATGATTAAGATATTTTAAAGGTTTATATAATCTGTACAAGTTGCTTAATTTTTGTTAAACATACTGAACAATTTATTATTAAAAAAATACAATAGATATGATGATTATATAAACTTTTGTTAGTAAATTATATTGTAACTATAACATGATTATAAAATTTAGTAGGGTTATATGTGTGTACTTGTGTGTTTAGCCAAATTAAAAATAAAAATAAAAAATTATATCCTTGCCAAAGCACAGTCCAGAATCTAATAATAATTAATTCATTTTAAATATTACAAGTAGTGTTCAGAAAAACTGCACGAACTTAATCGAAATGAAACCGAATAAGTCCCCTTCCCCGACAAAGCTACTGAGGTAGATAAAATTTTGTTGAATCAATCTACGAACGAGTAAATGTGAAAGGTATGGTAAATCATGAAAAGTTGAAAACATTTTAGTGATTGAGATCATGACAAGTTGACAACGTGAGAATCTCTTGTTTAAAAATCACCATGTCCTATAGAAGAATACTGATGCATTTTAGGTGTTGACTGCTTGTCGATCGATCCGAGCACTTTTGCTTTGCACGTTTTTTAAATAAGGTAAACTATGTCAGAGGAAAAAAAAAAACACGCACACACACACACCCTACGGCCTACACACAAATAAGGTGGGTAGGTGGAATGGATATGACTGGATTGTTGTGAAATATCAGGTGCATGAACAGCAGATGAGCAGAACATTACAATTAGAATTTGCCACGTTATAAGAAATGTAGAGGTGTATATTTCCGCGAAAAGCCTACAATAATTAGGCCATTACGAACCAAATTTACCAAAAGAAGTGAAGCATACTAAATCAAATTTTAGATCTGTCGGGGGATTCTGTTCCAATTCTTGAAGATAAGAACACACTTTATTTTAACACACAATTACAAATACTTAATCTATTATATATGGATGAAATCTATGAGGAAGAGAATAGTACTACTAAGGGGGAGACTAAATGTGCGCACGCCTCGATCTGGTACTCGAAAAGTTTCTGGCGAGTGCAAACAAACCTGCACAAACTCAATATTAAAAGTATTGTTAGCGGGGTTCGAACATGAGTCTCTCGTGTTGGATCCAAAGCCCAAACCACTGGACCACCCCTTTGTTGGCGATATGAACACACTTGAAGACGAGAGACACACCAAATTTGTAAAACTGATAAGATTCGTGGATCAACTATTATTCTATGTGTCTCAAAATTATTATCTAATTTGGATTTTCACTTTTAATATAAATTAATCTAAAAATAAAAATTTAAACTGAACAATAATTATGAAAATGAGGGAGTACTATAGATGATTATACTATATGTGCCGAAATTATTGTTTAATTTGAATTTTTAATTTCCGTATAGATTCAACGGAAGATAAAAATTTAAATTGGATAATAATTTTAAGATATGAAGTACTTTCAACTTTAATTTTTTTTTTTCTTGAGAAAATAGTCTTTGTGATATGTGAAAGAAAATTGAGTAAATCTTGAGATCATAATCAAATTAAACATTAGAGTATAAGATAGTCACATCTCACGAGTGACAAATAGGCAATTGAATTCTTTTCCAAAGTAATTTAGCTAATTGATTTGTTAAACGATAGAGGTAAATGATAAATTTTCATGTGTAGAAATTGAGAAGTAGTGTTACAGACAGAGACTTGAATCTCATAGTATTTTTTTGCATCATTTTATCCAAGTTTCAAAATAATTATCCTATTTGTTTGGATGGAGCCACGAGCTATCTATTAGGTATTTTTATTTTTTAAGTTTTACCATGGCCCGGAATTATTGATTCACATTTTAAAGCAATGGTACCAAGTTCACGAGTTGTACAAAATATGAACCTCAGACATGCAATTATCACTTGTGCTCAGAAACTCCCAAACAAAATTATTAAGACCGAAACTCTTGAATTATGATGATGCCATTTGGTTGGATCATTTGACAATCAAAAAAATAAATTTAAACTAAAAAACATATACTCGCTCTGTTTCATAATTATTGTTCAATTTGAATTTTTATTTTTAGTTTAAATTGTACTAAAATGAAATGTCGCAATAATTTTGAGACAAATGAGTAAAAAGAATATACCAATCATCTTCTCATATTCAAACGCATCTTCTTTATTTCCCTGTTTTTTTTTTTTCATTTATGGATGAATCATAATTCAAAAAAAAAAAACATGCGGATCAATTAAAGAAAAATAAGAACAGTTCACAGAATTCAAAAGAAAGGGAAACTCAGGACAGGGACAAATAAATTTAAAGAAACCAAAAAATGGGGAGATAAACGCATAGATCACATTCCAAAGAAGCTAACAAAAGATCCATTTCAGTAATCCTCGTTTTTTTTTTTACACAGTGAAAAACCCCACCCCATTACATTGGAAATCCAAACCTCCAAAGACTCTGTCTAATTGTTGTTCTTCACTCAGTGCTACTGGCGGCGACATGGGAAGATGATGTTGCTGCTTTAGATTTGGAGGATGCATTATTATCAGCTGACGAGATTTCCCCTGAAGACGACTTCGCCGGCGGCGTGGGCAGAGGAACGCCGTTTCTGTCCACCACTGACACCGGCGGATCGACGCCCGATAACCCTTTGCTCGGCTGTTCTCCGGCATCATTCTTCGGGAGGGGATCTGACAGATTGTCCGGAAACACAAAAACGCCCTGTGAGGGCCTCCTCTGATGCCGATTTCCCTTGTGCGACATCCTTCTTTTTCGGGGCAACAAAATTACAGAGAATTAATTTGTGGGTAAAAAGTGAGCTTAGGAAAGAAGAACTGAAGAGGAAGAGATAATTAGGTACAGTGAATACGACTTTTTTTTTTTTTCCTTCTTTGGTTTTGGGAAAAAAAAAAACAGAGAGATGCGGTTGAGTGGATATGGTAAAAGAAGAAGAGTTTGGGGGAGTGGTGTTAGTTGACTCTGTTTATATATATATAGTGGGAGCTTAATGTGATTCGCCGTCTAACATTGGGATTCTTTCGGTGTTGTGAATTCAATATTATATAAATTTCCACCAGATCCCGCAATTCAATTTTAAATTTGGGTGCAAAATTTAATGCAATGCATAATTTACGAGGTTGGTTTGGCGTAGTTTGGTATTGCTTCATTGAATTCTTTCGGTTACTGCTAGTCAAACTTTTATTATCCAGGAAAACAGATGTATAGGTACCAAACCTACTGCTGCTCCTACTACTCTATCAAATTCCTCAATTTTCATCTACGTTTTGATGTCACGATTGTGGGATAACGTTGATTCACATTTATATTTTTAAACTAAAATAAAAATTACTATTTCTGTCAAAAAAAAATATTGAGCTTCAAAATTTATACTAAAAATAACATAAAATTTTAAACTCAATCTAAACTATTCATTTAGGACAGAGAAAGTATAATAAAACTTGAAAGTTGTCTTTTTAACTAATTTTTTTTTTTTATCTTGTCATTTTTTTTTCTCGAGTATAAAAGCTGACATCCAAATACGTAATAGAGTAGACGCTATAGTTCGGTCCATGACGTTCTTTACACCGTTCATAGAATGTTACTTTGATTAGAAAAAAGAGTATTTATTTCATCCGTTCATTTTAATTCTCACCTTACACATTAATCATTTATTATACAGTGTACTACCTATATTTAGTAATAATTAAATGTGAATATTACATTTCTTACCAAAACTAGTTCAATGGATGAATCATTTGTATTATTGTCATATTTCCTTAAGAGTTTTTTTGGGGAGGGGGGTTATAGTCTATATATTTTAAAGTTTTGGATAAAAAGAAATCCAAATAGTCTATAATTTGATACAAAACTAATTAAATTAATTTATTAAATTTGACTTAATAATTAAATGCCGTGTCAAATGAGACATAATGGTGAGCTTAATTAAGTAAATTGTGTATCATTAATCATGTGATTAATTGTAATATCACCATAATAAAATAAGAAGTATTTCCTCCGTCTCCAAATTCTTTTTTAATTTAGATTTTTATTTTTAGCACAAACTGAAATAAAAATGAATTTCCAAACTAGACAATAATTTTAGGAAAGAGTGGTTATTATTGTTCATAATAATGGATTTTTGCTTTGGTTGATGTTCATGTCGACTTTTCAATGTAGTCGAACAAGTCAACGTAAATAATTTTGACAAAAAATAAAATTTTATATTCTTTTAAATTCATACCGACAATTCTAATAATATTTTAAGTAATATTACACATTAAAAAAAAAGTTAAGGCTGTATTTGGATTGTTGTTTTCGGTTTGTATTTTGTGATTTTTTATTTTTTTTTGTGTTTGTGTTTGAACCCCAATAAATTTTGAAAAAATACAAATTGATCACTAACTGTCGCTACAGTGGTAGCGGGCTGTAGTGGCCCAATAGTGATTAAATAGTAGTAAAAAGAAATAATATTCTCTATGTCAAAGATATTGACTATTTTTTTGAGACAAGAAGAGTATAATATTAGTGCCAAAGACATATTGAGGATCATTGTTGCTCAGATATGTTCTTGACTCATTTTAGGACCATAAAACCGCCAAATGAGTTTGAGTTAACAGTCCAAACAAGGCCTAATATTTCCAGTAAATTTCTAGATCAAATGTTGTTTTACGATTTACGAAAAGTCGATGAGCAAGTAAAAAAATGAAATGCACTTTATAAGTCCCATCCTCGTTGTCGTTGACTTTCATGCGATCATCGAATGTAGAAGCCATAATTTACTGTACTGCAAGTTATACTTATAACGCTCGAATTTTATATATTATATTCTATAAAATTGTGGGGGTTTTAAATATATTTTCTCATAAGAAGTAATTAAAAGTTTATAATTTATGTAAATACATACAATACTAAAAAATTTGACATGCAAATATGCTAATTTATCAATTAACAAACAACAATGGCATATAAGAAATGTGAAAACTAAAAATGATATAGGTATAAAATTTTAGTCTTGGATGGCTTTCTTGTCAACTTTGCAACATTGAAGAAACATGCAAACAAATTATACAAAAAGTAAGCAATAAAGATTTTGAGACTTTTGACTCGTAAATCAATAAATTATTAGACAATAAGAACATTAAAAAATTATAAAATTTAAAAACCTTTTATGTTTTAGCCTTTCTCTCGACTTTCTCATTAGATTTGCAAAGTAGACAGAAAAGTCCAAGCCAACAATTTATACAAATAAAATTAGTTTCGGATTTTTACATTGACACTTATAAATTTGTTAATAATTAAATGACAATGCCATTAAGAAGTTGTGAAATAATACCAAAGAAAGGGTTTTGATTTTTGTCCATTTTGCTATAAAGAGGAAAAAATGGATACTGGAAATTACTTTTTACTTTTATATTAATATTGATAATTCATAAAATATTTCAAAACTACTACATGAGTTCTACAAATTAAAGTTTATGATTTTCATAAGTTTTGGATGTTCAACTTTTAATAGATTTTTTTTTTCATATTGCGCACGGTGTCCTAAGTGCATTGCACTCAGACTAATCCGCACCGAGCCGGGTCGGTCTCCTTTCGGAGGGAAAGCTCTCCCAACATTGTTCTTTCTATTCACGAAACTTAAACCGAAATCTCACTTAATTGAACCAAAGCACCTTACCACTTTGGACAAGTAAGTGTTGGTATACGATATACCACTTTGGCCAAGTACCTTACCACTTTAGATTTATAAAAGTTGAAAACCAAACATGCCATGAAGTGCACGATATAGTTTGGTTCGCGTCGATCTTTAATCCACTCATAGCAACTAATGTGATTTTTTCACAATACGACCATAATAAAATAAAAATGGAGACAAAGATTTATGGACTATTCGACTTATCGACGTTCTTGTTATAATTTCTAAGTGGGCGAAAAAAGTCGACATAAATAATTTAAATAAAAAAGAAATATTGTGTGACTTTTACATCGACATCAACAAATAAGAAACTATTAAAATAATAATAAACATCAGAAAGTCAATTTTTTTTTTTTTTTGGGTAAACTTTTGGATCACATATTTCACTCAAGGAAAAGCCACCGGGCAAGTATATCATGAAAATACATGCTATATCAATTTCGGTCTTGATTGACTTTTTTTTTTCTTCCTTATAAATCTTTCATGGAATGTATGCGCCAAAATTCACTATACTACGTGTTATATTTATACCCATCAATTTTTATTTCCCTTTCTTTTCGCGAGTAGCCGTATTTGTGATTTTAAGTTTATTTTCTTAAGAGGAAAAAAAGTAGTCTATTCATCATAAAAAAAAGTCCTTGTTACAATTTTTAAATTGTATTTTTTTTTAGTACAATTCCTAAATCACAACGTAAACTATTTTTACATGAAAGAATTTGACAATTAGAGTATAAAATGCATATATATATATATAATATTTACAAATTTATAATCAAAAAATTTTACGAGTTGACTTAAAAGTCTTAAAAATAAAGATTTTCACAAAAAAAAATGAAGGTCTAAAAAGACTTGCAATTTAGATTACAATATCTAAAAATAATTTTCACCAAGACCTAAATATTTGGAGACTTTAACATAGCAAAAAAATAAAATAAAATACAATTTTAAGAAAGATTTGAGAAAATTTACGAATAAGAACTAAACTTTGTTTTGTTGCTTTACGAAGTTTTCCTTTTTTTAAGTGGATTGCTAAACAAAGATTGATTTTATTTCGTGTAACTTATGATTTATTTTTTTTAATATTCTTAAACCTTAAATTCTCCCACGCTTCACTCTCTCATACCCCCTCCATTCCAAAATAAGTGTTATCATACACTTTGCACATAGTTTAAGAAACTCATAAATAGGGTAATAAAATTATTTGAATATGCTCAACCAATCCCATTAAAAAAATGTACACCAATAGTATTAATTATGTTGAGAATAATTTTGGAAATTTTGGACAAAAAGTGCATTGAAATGTGAGAACGACAGATATTTTAAAATTTCTCTATTTTGCTAAAACGACACTTATTTTGGTACGGAGGGAGTACCATTTTTTCTCTATCTATCTATCTATCTATCTATCTATCTATCTATCTATCTATCTAAATTTCTCTCTCTCTAATAAGTTATCTCAAAATCTTCAACATAAAAATTCATTAACTATTGATAGTTTGCAATACCGGAAAAAAAAAAACACATAAAACAAGCAAGAATGAGGAATTGGCATATCAACAAGTAATTTTGTGAGTAATTTTTTAAGAGGGGATGATCGTCACCTGTTGTTTGCTCAGTGATTGTCGTAACTTGTTGTATTATAGCAATATTAAGCTTCGTCTCATCAATAGGAAGTCTTTCTCCAATGTATTGATTTTTATTGTTTATAGGGTTGAGTTTCTGAGCGATTTTTTTATATAGAATTTTCACAAGTTGCGTGGAATAAAATTAAGTTGTGTTTAACAAGAAAAAGAGAAAAATAAAGAAAAAAAGAAAATAAAAATATTTAGGGGTATTTAAATCATTTTATAAGTTACAATAAGTATCAAATTGTGTTTAGTACATTTATCGTCCATTACGTTTAAATTCGACAAAAGAGAGAAGAAAAAGGAGCTGGGGAATGATAAACAAGTTAAATATTTTTGGGGTTTGAAAGAAAAAAATAAAAAATATGGATAAGGACAATTACCCTCTAAGTTTTATCTCAAACCCTAAAACCCCCAAATTTTATGAAAGGACAATTATCTCTCTGATTTATGTCCATAAGACCAATACACGTCTTTTGACATGCAAAAAGACTATAATGCCCTCAATACGTGTGGGGACATTATTCCCCAGTTTTTTTTATAATTTTTTCCTACTTTATTTAGTTTAATTATTTTTAGTCCAGTTTTTTTTAATTTTATTCTACTTTATTTAGTTTAATTATTTTTAGTTCAGTTTTTCTTAATTTTTAAAATTTTTTATTTTATCTTTTGATCCAAAAATAAATAGAAAATATATTTGGTTTTGCCTAAATTTATTCCAGATTTGTAAAATCTTCATGCTATTGTTGCCTAAATTTTTATTTTCAATTAATTAATTTCTG